ACTTCCTGAGCATCCTGAAATCGTCTCTGACTCATTGTGGTTTGCACCGTGTCCTTCATCTCCGTGGGTTGTAATTCTGGATCCTAAACACAGTGTTTAGGGGTGACAAAAGAACTCTTTTCCCTGCACATTTGTCATTTCAGGGATTGCATTTTCCAGGCCTGTTGGTCARCACCTCCCAGCCCCAGCTGAAGGAACGCTCTGGCTCATGGAAACCATTTTGTCAGCCCTGTAAATCTGGGGGGAGCTCACCTGGTAACTCTTTATTTGTTCTGAATGYTTTCTTCTCCTCCTTCCTATTTGTCAAATCATAATTTCCCCCTGCAGCAGGAGGGAAATRGATAGCTCACCAGCCCCACGATGGATGTGTTGTCTTTCTGCCTGTCCTGCTGACACATTTGAGGAACTCTTTGAAGCYTTTTGTGCCCTTAAGGACCAGGTTTCACTTCATCTCCTTGATTACACCCTCCTTTCACACGGCTGTAAACACCCAGTRCTCTGACATTTCCTCTCTGCGCACCACCGGAGGGCTTTCCTTTGACTGATGSGTTTTTCTCCCTCTCTGAAATTCTGCATCCCCTTTATGGATCACTATTTGCTTTCTCCTGGGAGTCTGTCTCATAACTCTGTTTCTTGAGGAAGAATTGGGGATTGTTGGGAGCAGGACATGGAAAAGTGCGAGTCCAGAGAGAACTGCTGATTCCTTTAGTCCAGAACAGGACAATTTGGGAACTTTGTCATTGAGATTTCCCCTTTATCAATAAATATTTGCTTTACCGGGGTAAAATTGTCATCTGGATTTACCCCACCCAGAAAGGAAAATGTCAAAGGCCTTGTGGTGAGGAAGCAGAGGAGGCAAAGGCACCCCCAAATTAATTCCTCAGAAAACTCCTTTTCATTCTCCAGCTGAAGCACTGACAATTACTGAGAACCCTGATCTGGACAGCCCTCCTTTAATCAGGCATTTCCCCTCTCCAGAAGCCCCTTCCAATGTAAATTATTCTGTGATTATCAGAAARGACTAAAACCGGGGATTCAAGAGCAGAAGTCAAGCATTCATGGCAAATCCAACACAGGATTGAAACAGGAGCACTGCAGCAGCACTGAGAGGGAAAAGAGCCATTCCAGGAGCCCTGGAGTGGTTTTGGTGTGGGAAGAATTGCTGAGAGCTGGTCTCTGTTGTTTCATGAGGAGCAAGGCTCTGGGATAATCAGTTATGGCAGCAGAGAAACCTTGGAATCCTTGGTGCTGTCTGGGCAAGGAATGGCAAGTTCTACTCCCTCACAAAATAATAAAAAAGAGCCCATTAAAAACTGCAAACCCCGTGTCTTTTAAAGCAACTAAATGCAATTTTGTTGTGAACCCAGTGATGGATGCCCAGGTAAATCCCACAGGGAATTGTGAGGCAGAGCAGGGCTGTCCAGGCTGTTCTCACCGTACCTCCGTGGTGGGGTGGCGTCCCACAGAGCAGCACCACTCCTTGTCCCTCTCGCACTGACACCGGGCTCCTCGGCCTCATCTCGAAGTTCTCCAGATCTTGAGGGAGAAGCAGAAAGCAAAGCCTGGTCATTACCCACTAGATTTATTGATTTATTCCTATAATGAATCAATTTTCTGGGAACTCCATCCCAGAAAATCCCATTTATTCACTTGAGAACAGAATCCCGTATTCAACAGCAGGATATAATTTCATTGACAAATCGTATGGAAAAACAGCTCATCCAACCTGTTATCATGGTTTCATAACATGGTTTCCATGTTATCATGGAATTACAGGATCATTAAGGTTGGAAAAGACATCMCAGTCCAGCCACTGCTGAGTCCTTTGGCATTCACAAAATTCTTAYTCCTCACACACTTCTACTCTAACCCTGGGAATTTGTATTTACAATTTCTGTTTCCAAAGCCAGTCTGTTATTCCATGACTTTTYCCAGCATCATTTTTTTGGAACTTACAAGACTTTATCCACATGGGTTGTAAAAAAAAATGCATTTTGTGGTGTTTCTTTTTCTCCAGAAATAAAAAAACAGGTGTGTTCTATATATACAAGCAATAATTAGAGATCAGCAGGACTCCCACGGAGTGTGGGTTTAAATGATGATAAAAAGAGGTTGTTTTCTTAAGGAGTCTGGTCTGGTCTAAACAGGCTGCAGTTCCTGGATATGCTGCATTGTCTTGAGCTTTAGCACTGGTTTGAAGAGGAGGAAGAGGGGATTTTCAGAGGGAAATCTCCTCTATGAACGTGTCCAYGCCCATCTCCTACAGGTGATTTTTATGGGTTTTAATGTCTATTTTTTTTAGCAAGTTGCACACCACACTCAATTTCTGCTGCTACCTCACATTTCCCTGAGATGTTGAAGAATTATCAGCCTGATTCCCTTTAATTCGATTACAAAACATGACACAAAAGACGTGCTTTAAAAAGAAAAAAAATACTTTTGGATCCAGCCCTCATCCTAATGAGAAGCCTTCCCATTTTCTCAGAGCCATTTGGGAGACGATGGCTTGAAACACATTCAAAATACGCTTTAGTACAATAAATATCAGCTTCCCCTTAAACCTCTTTATACCACAGAGCCGTAAACTGCCTGCCCTGAGCTCATTTTATTTACCTCACTGCAGATTCTTGTTTCAAACAATTGTTCCATTTTTCATCAGCTCAACACCAACCCGAGCCAGAGTTCAATAGAGAGAAACAGCCCTCGTTGGTCCGAGCCATAACGATTACTACCTGCACAGCCTCTGCTATTTATGTCAATATATCAATTTTCTCCCCCTTAGCTGAACTTTGCACAGTTAATTTTTCTTTTCCTCCTCTTCATCTCCTGGATATTGGTCTCCTATGAAGACATTGTCTGCTCAGAGGGGGCTGGATTGAATTAAGCACCTGTAGCACCTCCTTGTGCTGTCACAGAACAATAGATGGGGCCTGTCAATACTCTGGAAAGGGCTGGAAACTCTGATGCTCTTTTAATTGCCTGCTGGCTGCAGCTCTGCCTTGGATTATGGGTAGTCCAAGGGGAAAAAAAATCCCAAAAATACCAAGAAAAATAGAAAAAAAATAATTTATTTAGTTGTATTCCATCCGTTAATTCTAAATAAGAGACAAAAGACTAGATGGGCATAATATGATTAATTAGAGTTTGGTTTCATACTTACTCCAGTCTCTGATTGTGTAGATTTATTTATTCGTTTTGAAAATTACATCTGAGAAAGTTTTCCCTTTTTTTTTTTTTTCTGAGAACAAAATTTCACTTGTTATGAGACACCTGAGAAAGGAGGGGGAAAAAAAATAAAGGAAGTGCAGTGCAACAGGAGGAAAAGGTTTTCCTGACAATTGAGAATTAACTGTGTAATACCTCGCTCTGAAATTGGAATAGATTCTGGGAAGTAATGAGCTGCTAGTAGCAATTTTTAGTTTAATGRCACAATATGTCATGTTATCATTTTTGCTCTCCTTTTTGGTGCTGTGTCACCTGTCTGTGTCTCTCCATTAAAACCAGGACAGGTGTCCCTGACTTGAATAATTCAAAAGCAGGAGAAGCAGATCTCTTAAAGGATCGCTGTTTTATGGGGAGAAGGATCGTTTTTGATTGTACAATGGAATCATGGAATGGTTTGGGTTGRGAGGSACCTTGAAGCTCATCCAGACCCTYCCMTGAGACAYCTTCCACTGTCCCAGGGTGCTCCAAACCCCATCCAGCCTGGTCTGGGACAATTCCAGGGATGGAGAAGTCACAGCTTCTCTGGGAATGCATGCCAAAATCTCCCCACCCTCACATGGAACAATTCCTCCCCAATATCCATCTAAACCCATTCCCTTTCAGTTGAATCCATGTTGGGAAAAAGCTGGCTGTGCCTTTTTAACTCCACTTTTCACCCTTGAGGATCAAAACCCCTGGGCAGGAGTTTGGGCTGATTCATAGTGTGTTTGGAGTTGGGTTGTACAGAGAAACTTGGATTTTCCAGAGCAGGAGAGAAGATTTGCATCCCTTTATGCTTATTAATCATAGGTATAAAAAGCAGCTGTGGAGCCACATAAATCATCATTTAATCTCTTCATCTCACCCATGACAGGGACAAATWCGCAATGTCCTTATTTAATCCAGTTTTAAAGACCTTCAGGAAAAGACATTTTCTTCTGACAGTTCATTCCACTGCGTAACTCTGAGATCTTCATCCAACTGCCTCCTTTAGAAACCCTGACTTCCCCCAAATTTCACAGGCCAGACCTGAAAGGATCTGCTTTGATTGATTTTGATAGATAATTGTACAAAGGGAATTTATTCAGGGTCTGTCTCTGCAATAAAGAATCACCGAAGAACAAAAAATTCCAAACCTCTGAAAGAGCAAACTGAGACAAAACAGATAAAGAGAATCCATTAGTGRAGTTAGTGTTGCTTCTGTTTTCATCTTTAGATGACTTCTCCTCCAGGCAGGCAGCATTTCCCATGGAATATGATGACACCTCATTCAAATGGGTTCAATAATGAGTCATAAAATAAAAAAAGCTTTTGCTGTTCAGTCCAGGTGGATGAGAGAGGGAAGAGATGGACCCTCAAAAATAATGTTTGTSTCTGMCACAAAGATTTTTCCATCCATTTTCCTGCCTATGGGCTCGTATTTTCAATAGTAAATTGCAATCGGAATCATGTTAAATGTATATATATATATATATATATATGTATGTATATATAGGGTTTTTTTTAAATTACTTGGGGATATAAATGCAGATATTCCACTTTGCTCTTGTTATTCTGAAATTCTGACTGCCCCCAAACCACTTCTCCTTGTCCTGGGTGTGCATTTACCCCAAGAGATCCCAACCACAGAGCTCTCCCAGCTCCTGTTCCCTAGCACAGCTCCGTAACAGAACATGACATAATCTAATAAAGCAGAATGTTGCTTGTCAAGAAGAGTATCAAATAAGAAGGCTAAGATCAGGTGTTTGGCACACATTTCGGTTGCTAATATGCACTTAGGAATAAGATGACTATTTAACAGATGGTATATTTGCTAACTTCAGTGTTTCTGCAGAGATCTATAAATAAATTATCACCTAGTTCCTACATAATTCCTTTCAGTCTTTGTATTTATCTCACTTGAAGAACAACGAGTTCCCTCACACTCCGTTGCTCTCTCAGCTGCGACTTTTAACAAAAAAATCCTCATTTTTTTCTCCGGATCTGTGCATGCTGGCAGCCTGCTCTTAGTGGAGCGCAGTTCATCAGTCGGATGCGATAATGAGGTCGTGCAGGCCAAGCAAAATGCTCAAGATGCACAAGAGTTCCTTCCCAGGGAAATATGGGAATGTCTGGACTGAGCTGAGCATGGCACGGCCTCGTCTCCAGCTGGGAATGTCACAGAGCTGAGAGAGGAGGGGCTGTGCTCATAGCACCCCAAACATATGGGATTTTGCGGGGCTGGGGCTTGGGAATGGCACGGCTCTCTCTGGTGGGAGAGGGGAT